GGGGGGGGGGGCCCTGAAAACAACAGAAATGTGTGGAGGGGAAAAGGTTCTATGGAAGTAACCTCACAGGGTGACTGATCATAAATTCCTGACTGGGCAGGCCATGGTGGGTAGTCATGCCCTAGGCCTATGACTTTTTTTCATTGATTTTTTTAGACAGAGTGGAAGGGAGGGGGGTGGAGAGAAAGAAACATCAATAAGAAAGACATATCGATAGGTTGCCTCCCGCATGTGCCCAACTGGGCTGGGGATAGAACCTGCAACCCAGGTGCTTGCCCTTGACCGGGAATCAAACCCACGACCCTTTGGTTCAAGGGCCAACACTCTAACCACTGAGCCACACCAGCCAGGGCTAGGCCTATGGCTTCTTTATGGAAAGTTTTAAATCAGCCCTGTCTATTGTTCTTGTGTATCTAGGTTAAGACACCTTTGAAATACCAGAAGTAATACCCCTTGAAGGGGTTTACTTTCCCATCTCATGGCACATATAATTACTAAAATTCTGTGGCCCACCAAAAAATATATTACATTTTTTGCCAATCTGACAAAAAAAAAAAAGTTATAATTTTGATTCACTCACACTGGATGGCTATTGTTGTGTTGGCTGTTGTCATTTTTTTATTTGACAATCTAAAGGAAAAGAGATCAGTGCTCCTGACTAAATAGTCAAGTAGTGCATGTTTTAAAAATTCTTGCAGCAGTTTGCAAATCGCTGCTGTAACCCAATCCTCGCCTTGTTTTCTCCAACCTTCCTTACATCTCCTTCTTAATTTCAAATGCATAAAAGCTGCTGCAAAACTGTTATTTTCCAGGGCATTTGAGATCTTGCTCTCCAGCATATGTTGTCACTTTGGTTCAAATAAACTCAAATAAAAATTTTCTACAGGTTTGGAAATCTCTTAGATCCACACACGTGTTCTGAAGGCTGGAAGTCTGAAATCGAAGTATTGGCAGGGCTGAGCTTCCTCCAGAAGTTGGAGAGTCTGGGGGTGATCTACCTGCCTTTCCAGCTTCTGTGGCTCCAGGTGGTCCTTGGCTTGTGGCCACATCACTCCAGTCTCTGCCTCCACCTTCACATGGCCTCCACCTTCTTGTGTCTGACTCAAGCCTCCCTTTGCTTCCTCTTATAAGGGACACCTGTCTTTGGATTCAGGACCCACCCTAAATCCAGGACAATTTTATCTGGAGAGCCTCAACTTATTTAGGTCCACCAAGACACTGTTTCCAAGTAAGGTCCCGTGCACAGGTTCTGGGCCACAGGTGTATCTTTTGAAAACCACCCATCAGCCCACGAAGTGGGGTGTGGGGGAACCTTCTAGAAGAGGCAGGTCAGAGCAGAGACCATGGACTAAGATATGGCCCTGGTTTTCAGAGGAGGAAACTGAGGCTACACTATCTGGCTGGCTACCTCCGACCTGACTCAACCTACACACTGAGCTGCCTCCAGTCCCTTGATGAGTCATCTCCTTGCAGCCACCATTTTCGTTCCTGTTTTTACCTCTCTCTGTGGCTCCCTGAAGCAGCAGGGAGACTGTCATGAGGACAATCTGTCCTGGGGGTGGGAGCAGCAGGAGGCCTTCCCCCACCGGGCAGCACCTGGAGCTGGGGCTGGGCCCCCCTTTCTAGCCTCAGATAGCCCCTGGAGAGCAAACGCCCAGCAGGAGAGCCCGCAAAGTTGAGAAAGAGATGCCTCCCCTGGGATCAATCAGCCAGGAGCAGCCACTCCCCTGGGACACAGGGATACCCGCTGCAATTACTGGCTTGTTTTACTGTACATCTCTGCCCCACCCCAACCCCCTTGCAAGCCCCAGAGCATGAGGGCACCGCAGGCCTAGCATGGTGCCTGCTCACAGCAAGTGTGGGGCTTTAAAAAGGTCACACAGGTCTTGACACTCCTCCCATTGAGAGGGAAGGCCAATATCCCCTCCCCTTGAATTTGGGAGCTCATGACCACTGCCCCCAGTAGAGTGCAGTGGAAATGCTGACACGTGCTCCTGAGGCTTGGTCAGAAAAGGCCACACAGCCTCTCCCTTGTCCTCTGGGACACTTGCTTTGTGCCATATAGAAATCCACAACCCTGACACTGTTGTGCAGAAGAGGCCACGTCGGGTGCTTCGATCCCCAGCCCAGCTGACCTCCCCGGACGACCGCAGCAGCCGCAGCCGCTGGCCGCATCCAGCCCAGGCAATCTGAACACAACCCAGTGAGAGATCCCCACTAACGAGAGCCACCTCCCTGAACCCCTCCTGAATTCCTACCCCAGAAAATCAAGGGCAAGATAAAATGCTTGTTGCTTTACACTATTTAATTTTGGGTAATCTAGAACAGCTGCTGAATGACCAGCATGTTAAGTAACTCAGAGTGTGTCTAAGCAAGCAGGCCGAGTACCCAGAGCTCCATCTCTAACCCCTGCCCGGCCCTGATGGAGGCCAGGTTGGGCAGTCCAGGCCTTGGGCAGAGATAGGAGCAGGTGGAGGCTAGAAAACACCAGACACCTAGCAGGTGCTAGTTACCTGGAGAAAGAGAGTCAAGGCAAGGCCTCTCTCTGCCCTTGAAGACCTCATGGTCCCATCGAATGTCCTCTGAAATCCCAGCAAAGCCCTGAGCTGTCGCTTTCCATTGACCAAGCTTCTTGACACACAAACCCAGCTCCACCTTTTGCTCTTCCCCTCAGCAAACATCCCCATGGAGCCTTTGTCCACAGCCCTTGCCCCTCCACCCCTTTGGCTGCTCCACTCCTTTTCTCCTTCAGTTCTCAGGTGTCACTTCCTTGGGGAAGGCCTCCTGGATGCCTCTGACCAGGCCTGATCCCTCTGTAATTTTCTCTCATAGAACCTGGCTTTTCTTCTGGAGGAGGGTTTACCCTCATCCGTAACTGCCCCGAGTTCTCTGACCGGAGCTAAAAGCCTGTAGGCCAGGAAGCCAGAGACCCAGTTTGGCTCCCTCTGTTCTGGGTGTAGGAAAAATCGGGGCACACAGAACTCGTAAGACCTAGTGGCAGGCATGATATAATAACTGAGCCCCTACTGGGCACCCTCAGAATCATGCTGCTCCTTCAGCCTTCCCACCTATCAGTAGGTTATATTGTTGCTGATTTTGCAGGTAAGGAAACTGAAGCCCAGAGAGGTTAACTGACGTGCCTAAAGCCACACAGCTGTGAGTAGAGAAGCAGGTATGGGGACACAAATATGGCTGGCTTGGGCCATGGGTCGACCTTCAGCTCTGCACTGTTGTAGGGCAGCTTAATCGTGGACTTGCCCAAACCTCGCAGGACCCCTTCCCTCGGACATTGGTTTCTGCCCTTTCCCCAGCCCCACCCCACCCCACACTCAGCTCCTCCAAACCCAGCTGTGTGAGTGTGAGACTCCTCTGGCCTGATTCTGAGTTCCCACCGGGTCTGGCATGCTGGAAGTCCAGTTTTTAAGCTCTAGCACAACCTCAGAAAGGATGTCACAGCCCAGCTGAGGAGGGTTTTTCTCTCAGCTTTCCCTGAAAAGACAGAGGGAAGGCTCCTGACCACTCAGGAAATAGCCACATCCTGCTGTCCCATCATTCTCAATTTCCTCTCCACTCCCTTCACAAGCCTCTGCACAGGGGCATCAGGAGACCCAGGTTCGAATCCCAGCTCTGCCTCTTTCAAGCTGGGTGGCCTCAGGGGAATCACTTAGTCTCTCTGAGCCTCAGTTTCCAGAAAATGGAGACACAAACAGCACCTATTTCGTAAGTTGCTTGTTAAAAATTAAATAAGATTTTCAATATGAATGTGCTTAGCCCCCAGTAGCTCCATAAATGCCTATTACACCTGAAGATGACAATGGCCTTGGTTTTTACAGAAAGAAAGAAGCTTTACAAAACAATCAGACAAACTTGTTTTTGAAAAACAAAAAACCACATTTATTTCTGTAAACTGTTTGAGTGCAGATGTCCTTCACAACCCCAACACAGCACAGACTTCCTCCCCCAAAATGAAATGAGCAAGGGAAAAAGAAAAAGAATATAAAATATGCTCATGAAGAACCAACCAATCTCATCTTTCTTTGAAAAAAACCCCACACAAACCCTTTGTCTGTGTGGTGCAGACGTAGGATTAAAACCACAGGTGTTCTGGTCCCCTCCCTGCGCACACAGCGAGGGTGGCAGAGGGCCCTCGGGCCCGCGCTGTCCTTGCTGCCAGCAGAGGACCTTCCCCAACGTAAAGCATCAGTTCCCAGCTCTACCGAGATTCCTGTTCCGCACCCCGGGCCTCTCCCCATAGCGTCCTCCTCGCTTTGGGGGCCTCCGAAGTTAACCCTGAAAGACTCCTGTCAAATCTGGACTCAGACCTCGGCCCCCACTTCGTGCCACAACGAGACTTCCATCGAAAGGGCGGGAGCAGGCTGTCCCAGGCCCTGCGGCGAAGCCAATGCCAGGCAACTTTTAAGGCAACTTTTCTCTCTTTTCCTTCGGTGTGAATCAGGCCTAGACTTCCCACCACCGAGCACCATCTCTGTAGCTTAGGCAACTTTGAAGGAAGTGGGGGGGACCCTGGAGCACATTCGAGGAGGTCTGGGCCTGCCACAGGGTGAGCGCGGGTGCTGACCGAGGCGGCCGTCGAGGGTGCGGCTCGGGTGCAGCCGCCTCCTCAGCCGCAAGCAGGTGGCCGGCCAAGGAAAACGGAGGTGGCAGCACTGGCCTGGTGGAAGCAACATGAGGTCGTGGCGGAGGAGGCCAGGCAGGCTAAGAGAAAGGCCAGGAAAGGGGGTCACCACAGGAGGCGCCTCAGATCTGAGGATGTGCGTGATCTGGGCATCACAAGGATTCTTCTTCAGAACGAGAAAGAGGGAGACAAAAGACAAAGAAGATAAAAGAAAGATGTTCCATGAGCTTTGCGAGAGAGGACATAGCAGGACTCGGAAGGGAAGCAGGGAAGGGGAGTTGGGTTGCAGACAGGGTGGCGGGTGTTGCCTCTCATTGCATCTCCTCTCCCTGGTGGGCTGGTGGGCTGGTGGGCTGGTAGCTGAGGCCGAGGTCCCCTCCCCTGGAGAGCAGGCAAATGACTTTGGCAAGGGGCAGGGGGAGGGCTGGGGTTACTCGGCCTGGGCGTCGTAATTGGCTCCCCCAGCCTTCTTGAGCTCGGTCTTGATGAAATCTTCCTCCAGCTCCTTCCGATCACTGATCACAAACTCTTTAGCGAAATTCTGCAAGAACAAAATAAAATGCAGTTTCCGGTAAGAAGGGGCAAGATCTAAACATTGCTCAGGCAACATGCCAGGAAGTCTTGGCTCCTGAAATACTAGGAAATGATCAAAATAAAAATTTGGTGGCAGAATGGCTTGACACAAAAAAACATGACTAGAGATCAGAAAATGGGTAAAGTCAAGGTACTGTGTAATCTCAAGACCATGGAGGTGGGCCAAGGTCAGATGTGGGTTTGAATTCTGGCTCTGTCATTTTCTGGCTGTGTTACCTTGGGCAAGTTCCTTCAACTCTCTGTGCTTCAGTTGCTTCATCTGTGAAAAAACCACCGTCAGTAGAATAACATGAGAGGAGGTTGGAAAGGCAGGCTGTTATGCTGATAAATGTTTAACAGGAGGCTTCTCAAAAGAGAGGGAGAGGGAGAGGAGAAGCCCTGATTTGTAGCTTTTGCCCATTTCCATCGTGTAAAGATCCCCATGGTGGTTGATTTCAAGCTACCAACATGACATCACTGTACATGGAGTTGGGAAGAGGCACATGACTGATTGGCTCTCATGAGCTGGTATAAGTTAGCATCAGGCACCCCTGGTCATAACAGTGCAGGGCTTCCAGCTTGAGGTCTGGGTGGTTAGCCCAGGCACTGAACGCACAAAACAGTACCAAGCCCTCCAGCGACATTCAGTTACTTGAGGGCAGGGGGTTCGCTTGCACTCATTTAACAAACACCATGCCATGTGATAGGGCTATAGCAATAAGCTCAATGCAGTCACCATGCCCTCTTAGGGTGCACAAGTTTCAACCACAAAAGCCCACAGGCCTGGCACACATGAGGCACTTGGTAAATACTTGTGGCATGAATGAGTGAAGCAGGTGACCTCACTTATCAGATAACTCTGAGCTGTTAAGAATCAACAGTTACTTTAAAAAGACTTCAATAAACAAGAAACATCTCAGAATGGTGACAGACATAGAAAATTTTACCTAAATATAAATAACAAGTCTGAAGGTCAGAAAGTCAACCACATTAAAAAAAACAAAGTTCCACAAGAAAATAATGTAAACAATTACCACCATTTATTAAGCACCTATTTGTACAAGGCGCTACCACTCATTAGCAAACTTAATTCTTTTTTTGAAAAAATATATCTTTATTGATTTCAGAGAGAGGAAGGGAGAGGGAGAGAGACAGTTGAAACATCAATGATGAGAGAGTCATTGATCGGCTGCCTCCTGCATGCCCCGGACTGGGGATCAAGCCCACAACCCAGGCATGTGCCCCCACCGGGAATGGAACAGAGATCTCCTGGATCCTAGGTGAATGCTCAACCGCTGAGCTATATCCGGCTGGGAGGCAAACTTAATTCTTAAAACCCTTTCATATGACCCAACAATTCTACTCCTGGAGATCTACCCAAGCGAAATGAAAGCATGTGTTCACACAAACACTTAGACACAAATATTCCTAGCAACATTATTCATAACAGCCAGAAAGTGGAAACAATTCAAATGTCCATCAACACATGAATGGCAAAACATAATCTATCCACACAATGGAATATTATCATTCAGCCAAAGAAAGGAATGAAGTACTGATTCACCCTACAACATAAATGAACTTGAAAACCATTATGGTAAATGAAAGAAGCCAGACATGAAAGACCACATACTGTATAATTCCATTTATATGAAATGTCCATAAAAGGCAAATCCAGAGAGAAAATGTGGATGAGTGGCTGCCAGGGGCTGGGGGGGTGAACAGGGAGTGATTACTAATAGGTCTGCAGTCTTGGGGGGATGAAGATGCTCTGGGCCTAGACAGAGGAGGTAGTTGCACAACACCGTGACTGTACTAAAGGCCACTGAGTTGCATATTTTAAAATGGTTAATTTTACCTCAATTAAAAAACACATGAATGCCAACATATGTCACCATACCTCCAAGAAGAACGACTAAACCAGGAGGGCACTGAAGGTCAACTTTTACAGTTACAAACAAAAACCATCTGCCATGTCAAGCGGCTGAGAATATGAACTGGGAGGGAGAAGGGGGAGGTTAATATTTATCAAGCAGCTAGTATGAGCCAGGCGCCGCTGCACACGTTTTCCCGCCTATGATGAGACCTGGCAAGCTGGGCGCAGAGAGATTGTGCAATTATCCCGGGATGACTAAACATCCTTTCCATCCCCTACTGTGCTGCTCGGGGTCTGTGTGTCATGAGCAGGAGGAGACACAAGCTGTATGGAGGAGTCAGAAAGGAGAACCGAGAATGAATGTGTTTCTCAAGCCTGAGCCCCAGCGGCGTGGGGGAGGGGCAGGGGGCAGGCCCTGGAGAAGGAAGCCCACAGCCCAAGGTGCCTGTAGAAGGAAGTCCAAAGTCTCACTGCTCCGTGATAGCTATATATGGCAATCTAAAGCAGTAAGAGCACTCCTGTTTTGTCAGTTAGCCATTAGGTTTAGATTAAGAAGAAGTTTGTTTGATAAGGCTAAGAAATCTACAGAGTGCACAGTCCAACCTAAAACCATAAGTATATGGGAAATCAAATTATGGCCAGAATAAGGAAAACAGGATAGCAGAATCTAATAAAAACATAACATAACAATAAATGTAAACGAGCAAAATTACCTTTAAAAAAGGGCTCTCTCAAGATCCAAAAAAAGGTAACCCCCAAACCCTAGGCTATATACCGGAAATATATTTAAAACCAAAAGATTAGCAAAAAATTATTCTGTCAAACAAAGTACACAGAAAAGCAAACTCATCCACCCCCACTATGGGGATCAGCAGCCCAAAGGTCAGGCAGGAGGTGACGGCCACACAGAGGCAGTCCCAGTAGGCCTCACAGGCCTCCCCACACAGACGCTCATGCACCCCCAGAGGCTTCAAAGGGGAGAAGATTCTCCCCGTCAGGATATGGACTCTGCAGAAAGTTCCCAGAAGGTCTGAGTCAACCTAAACCCAACTCAGAAAGACCCTCTCGCTTCTCCACCTCCAGCAGTCCTCGCACGTGGACTTGGCAAGGGAGACAAGAGCAGCCCCAGGCGTGGACTTCGTTGCGCGTTTTGAAAAAGAGGCCGAAATGAACAAAACGGGCTCTGTGGGCAGCCAGACCTTGAAGAGGAGACAAGGCCTGAGACCGGAAGGAGCCTGCGAGGACTTAACCAACCAGAAAACCGCACGAACACGCCTGCACAAAGCAGGCCGCCTCCCCACCACGCTCACGCCTCCACGCTCTCACTCACTGTCCCTGGCACCCTCCAGGTGCTCTCAAATGGCTACTGGGGCAGGTGCAGGGGACACTACTCAAGAGGCAATTCCTTAGAAGCGAATTTCAGATTGTCTAGTAGCCCGTTTGAGAAAAGCAAGAGAGAAATAGGTGATATTAACTGTAATGATATTTTACCTAACCCTATATATTCAAAATGTTTTAACATGTGCTAGATGTACAAAGGCATTGACGAGATTTCTACATTCTTGTCTCCACACTAGGTCTTACAAAGCCGGTGCCTGCTGGACACCTGCAGCCCATAGCGACAAGCCAAACCTCAAGCGCTCCGCAGCCACAGGTGGCCAGTGACAGTGCAGGTCTAGGTGGAGCGGAAGAGTCTGAAGGAACACGATGCTCAGTCAAGAAGAATCATTAATCATAAAGCACTGGAGCTGATCTGAGTCGGGGAGGGGGAGCCTTCCGGGGGCTGGAAATGTTCCAGGTCTTGATCTGGGTGGTGGTTTCATGAGTATGTACAAAAATTCGAAATTTTATCAACCTGTGCACCTAAGATTTGTTGTTTTCCTCTACGTAAATTACACCTTGGTTAACAAGAAAGGAGAGGGAATAGAGCTGAAAGAGCCTTTGAAAGAAACCCTGACATCCAGCCCCTCATTTGATAGAGAAGCAACAGAGACTCAGAGGCGGGGATCAATCCACCCCAGGGCACATGGCAGCCCCAAGGCCCAGGCCCTGGGGGTGAGGTCCTGACCTTGGTCTCTCTTGTGTCCTCTCTCCTCTGCAACCCACCTCCTGGGCTGCCCCAGACTGCCCAGCCCTCCCATGCCAGCATGTCAAAGTTGCCTAAGCCAAATGTCAAACACTTCTAAGCAAAATGTGCAGGTCTAGGGACATTGTCACATGTGCGTCTAGAAAGACCTTCGTCATGTCCAGGAATGCTGGCTAATAGCTTCCAGGCAGGGTCTCTCCCTTTTCTGCCACAGCAGGACTTGTCAAAGGAAGAATCCCCTTCTAGCTAACATGACTCCAAGATGGTTTTGAAACGTGCACTAACCACATTTAGGACTCGTTTTGTCCCTGTGACTTTTCTCAAGTGCACATATGCTCCTGCTTCAAAGATATGAGGCAGACATCAGTCTGCTTCTGAGGAAGGCAACTCAAGAGAAGAACTGGGGTTACTAACGTGGGGTCTATTTACATAGTCGAGAATCTATTTGCAAAAAATTTCTATGGTTCACAAAGTACATAAATATTTTCCTATCCTTTGTTTTAAATCATCTCATTTTCGAATGGCTCCCAACTGCCTGAGTTTAAACCCTAGCTTCAGCCCTAAAGCATGCTAGGAGTAGATTTGGGCCAAATCCAAATAGAGATAGTTGTCCATGTGCATCTCCAGCAGCCTGACTTGCCTGCCCTGAGCCTTAGCCCCCACATCTGCAAATGGGGAAATAAGAGAACCCACGTCCTAGGGCTGTGGCGAAGATCTGATGAGTGTGCAAAGGGCTTGGACACTCTGAGCATGCTCAGCACAGAGTAAGTGCTCAAGGATGATTAGATAATATTTTAAATAATCCACCCTCATCCTCAAGATTGTTAGGGAGTCTGAGATATAAAGGAGTTTTCTGAAACATTCAGAATAAAGACCCAGGGAATGGCTGGTCCCTCTTCTCTTACCCCACACTGATTTCTCCATCCCTACCATTTATTTTTTAATGAAGGGAAGACTGGGGCATCCTCAGAATAACCAAGACAGTGACAGTGCCACCTCCTTGCCC